GGTGGGCCATGGCGGGCAGGCGGCAGGCGTCAGGGTGGACCATGGCGGGCAGGCAGCAGGCATCTGGGTGGGCCGTGGTGGGCAGGAGACAGGGTACTGGGGGCAAGGGCAGCCACAAGATGTTGCAGAGCCTGGACCCAGGGTGGCTGGAGAACCACAGCCCTGGTCTCAGGACCTGTTTCTTGTTGGGAGGGCTCAGCCTCTTCATTGCTGTCAGTATGGTTTTGACTCTGAGACCGTCAGCTCAGCCCCAGCTCCCTGTCTGCTACCTCCCTGCACTGCCACAGCTCCCTCCCACCTTCCCTGGGGCTCCCTGAATTTTTCTAGAATTCTATTTCATTTCCTCTGTTGGCTTCTTGGTTTCTCGACTATACCTTTTGGAGGAATGGGGGATTTCTCTAGGGCTAAGAACATGCACCCCTTAGCACAGTCTGTGTCAGGCCAGCATCACTCCGGCTCAGTTCACACAGATACACACCCTGAAACATGGTGACCACACCCCTCACACCCCCCTGGGCCATCCTTCAACTTCCCACAGCTAAGAATGAACCCAGACCCCGGCTCAGCTGCCCCAGAACCGCTTCTCAGGCCTGGCACACGTGCACTCCTGTGCACACGCAGCCTGCTCGAGGCCAGGGGTTCCAGGCACCCCCACAGGCTGCTCGAGTCCAGGGGGTCTGGGGCACCCCCACACAGCTACTTGAGGCCAGGGGGTCCAGGGCACCTCCACACGGGCTGGTTGGGCTGCTCTGTGCAGCCCTTCCTCTCCAGACCCTAGCCTCCCTCGCAGCCCTGCACCCTGACCTCTGCCACCGTGGCCTGTGGGAACCGCGCCCCACGCTTCAGAAACTTGTGCCCAGGCTGTGGGAACTGCGCCCCACGCTTCAGGAAGTTGTGCCCAGGCTGTGGGAACTGCGCCCCACGCTTCAGGAAGTTGTGCCCAGCAGAGAGCCGGGCAGTCTTGCACTAGCGCCCAGGTTTCCTTCCGGGGCAGTTGTTGTGAGTTGCCGAGGCCTCCGGGGTCTGCATGGTCTTCTCTCCTTGTCCCCATTTGTGAGTCCCCAGGGCCAGGCAGGGGCATCACTGAAAGGATGACGGGAAACCAGGGGCACTGGGCACCAAGCCTCCCCTACATGCTGGGGCCACTCCAGGCCTCCCCTGGAGGATGTGACCCCAGCCCGACACAGCCTCAGCCCCGCCAGGGCCCCTGATGCCGCGCCACCCCCACAGCCTCATGACGCTGCTCCGCTGCCAAGTGCACATGGAGATGGCGCAGATCGAGGAGGACGAGGACCGGCTGGAGCCTGCCATGGAGCACCTCCGGAAAGCCGCGCGCCTGGACAGCCTGGGCCTCTACCAGGACAGGCTCCAGATGGCCTCTACCCGGCTGCGCCTGTGCACCACACTATACCAGGCCCCCGAGCGTGCAGAGGACAAGGCCATCATGGCCATCGAGCAGGTGCTGCCCGGGGAGGTGAGGGAGGCCGGGTGCTGTAACCCCAGCATGGGGCCGGGGCTGGGCTTTGAAGGCACAGCAGGGCGGGAGCTGTCACTGTGTCTATGAGCATGAGGACCACACAGGCCCTGCCACAGCCAGGAGGCTCCAGAAGTTGGAGAAGGTGCTGCGGAAAGTCCAGCGGCCCCTTCCTCATCAGTCTCTGCTTTTCACAGGCAAAAAAAGCTACCCCAAAGGACAGCGTCAGGAAGAAGCGGGCCCTCCTGGTGAACGCAGGCCTGGCCTTAGCCCCCGACACGTTTCAGATCGTGCTGGACAGTGAGAATGAGGCCAAAGGTGAGCACCGCACTGGGCTCTCCCAGCCCAGAACCACCCGCCTTGGAATGGCTCCGAGGCTGCCCCGGGGTTTCCCCAGTCCCCATGCTCCCTACCACGGCCCCTGGATGTGCAAGGACTGTGCACCAGCAGTGTCCTCCGATCTCGGCCTGCCGGGTCTGGCAAAGCCCAGCAAGGGTCTTCTGTGCACACGCCAGCCATGTCGGGTGCCCCGGCTGCTAGGACAGACCCCACGGGCTCCGCTGCTTAGACAACAGGAACTCACTCCTCCCAGTCCCAGGCTGGAAGTCAAGGCGTGGGCAGGGCTGGTTCCCCCTGAGGGCTCCTTGGCTTGTGGACGCTGTCTCCTCCCTGCGTCCTCAGGGCCGTTCCTTCTGGGGGTCTGTGTCCTCGTTTCCTCCTCTTAGAAGGATACCAGTCTGGCCGGGCGCAGTGGCTCAAGCCTGTAATCCCAGCACTTTGGGAGGCCGAGACGGGCGGATCACGAGGTCAGGAGATCGAGACCATCCTGGCTAACACGGTGAAACCCCGTCTCTACTAAAAAATACAAAAAAATAGCCGGGCGAGGTGGCGGGCGCTGTAGTCCCAGCTACTCGGGAGGCTGAGGCAGGAGAATGGCGTGAACCCGGGAGGTGGAGCTTGCAGTGAGCTGAGATCCGGCCACAGCCTGGGCGGCAGAGCGAGATTCTGTCTCAAAAAAAAAAAAAAAAAAGAAGGATACCAGTCAGACTGGACTAGGGTCCACCCTGGCGACCTCATTTGACCCAGATTACCTCCAAAGAAGGTCATACTCAGGTCCTGGGGGCGAGGACTTCAACACACCCTGCTCTGGGGAGTGGGGTTGAGCCAGAGGCACAGGACAGGGCTCCCTGGATCACAGGGGTCAAAGCTGAAGCCATCACGTCTGTCCTGGGCAGACCCTGAGCTGGCTTTGGGTAGTGGGACATGGGGCCATGCGGCCCACGTGCAGGGACTGAGCCAGGGTTCGGGGGTGTATTGCACCCCCACTGCCCCAGCTTCTCTGGGCACTCGCCAGTGGCTCTGGGAACGCAGGTGGTCCCACTCTCTTCAGCCCAGTGCAGGGGCCAGGCTGGGTCTTGCTTAGGAGCCCTTCCCACTGGTCCCTTGAGGGTTCTGCTGGGGGCTGCCGCCAGGCCTCCCTCCAGCTCAGTGCCCAGCAGCTGGCAGCTTTCGCCCAGCACGATGAAGCAGGCGTCACCCAGACTGCAGCCTGCGGAGATGGTGGTTGGGAATGGAGACGCTGGGTCATGTCTCGGGTCTGAGACAAGGAGATGGGCAGATGCAGGGTGGGTCGTGTCCTGCAAGGGAAGGTTGGTCGCTCTCGGAGAGGGGAGGGGTCACCGCCTCGTCGTCCACCGCCCTCAGATGCTGCTGCACCTGTGCTTTCATTTTGCCCTAGTAAGTTTGAGGAGCAGCTGCAGATCCACCAGTAGGACCCGGACGCACCTATTTTGCCTTCCTGACTCCTTTCATTCATGGGCGTGTGCTGCTGGCCGCCTGGGGGTCAGGTGCATGTCCACCTGCTGGCTGTGGGGCTGAGACAGCACCGTACACCCAGGACCCTACACCCAGCAGGAGGACAGCACCCTACACCCAGCACGAGGTGCTGCGGGGCCCTGCCCAGGGGCAGTGAGGGTGGTGCGGGCTCCAGGGGAGGATACCATTGAGTGGCTTCTGAAGGTGAACCCCTGTGCTGGCCGAGAGGGTAGACACCAGCCAGGGGAGGCCCAGTCCCCGGGGTCGCCCATGCACAGGAGGCCCCCCAGGGTGTAGAGCTGAGTTCTGGGTGTGGAGCTGAGTTCCGGGTGCTTGTGATTTATTTGCCAGGAAAAGGAGTGGTGATTCGGAACCTCTGGCGTCATGCAGATAAAACTGCTGGGCCTTGGGGTGCTACACAGGGGCTGGGTGGGAGCGCGGGAGTCTGAGGCCGGGTGCCCCTGCTTGGACGTCAGCTAGGCAGCGCAGCCAGCAGAGCAGCGGGAGGGTCTTGGCAGACTGCTCTGAGGTTCCTGGAGCCTCCCCCACTCAGAGGAGCACTGGCTCGGCCTCGTCGCCAGCAGGAGACACAGGCAATGCCACTCTGCAGCTCTGCTCCCGGGAGCCGGGGATCTAGGGCCCCTGCAGCCACCACCTGTGGGTGGCCACCCCGGTGCCGGCGCGGGGCGCTGGTTCCTGATGGGCGCGTCCCCGGCCCTTCGCCAGCAGCCCCAACGCCTGCCTGTGCATTTCTGTCCCAGTCTCCACCGGGAAGAGCAGGGGCCGGTTCACCTACCTTTGTGCAAAGGCGCGGCATCACATCGTCAGTGTGGACAAAGCTGCTGGGCACCTGCGGCGCCTGGGCAACGAAAACAGCAAGGAGAGGTGAGTGAGGAAGAGGCCAGAGCGCCACACAGAGCCCTGCCTGGGGGTCGCTCAGCCCAAGAGCCAGCGTCTGTGGCAGCCGAGCTGACCCTGTGTGTGGCTGTCTGGGGACACACCAGGTCACCTGCTCCAGGATGGTGGGAGGAGGTCCCAGCCTGGGGGTCCCGACATGGATGGGACCCCCCAGCCTGTGATGACAGCCACGGCCTGTGAGGTGTGCGGCCGCCCTGTCCCGCCTGTCACTGCTGTCACTCGGAGGACACGCAGCGCCTGTGACCAGAGCAGGCTGATTTTTGGTACCAACCCTGCGGTACCACCCCCAGGAGGCCTGCTCCGTGCAGTGGATTGCACGGCCTTTCTTCTCACCACAGGGAAGGGAGGTGCTGCTCACAGCTGACTGGCAGGGGGAAGCAGAGAGCTGCACCCGACCCCGGGACATGCGCCCGCCAGGCCGTCCCCAGTGTGAGCACCGGGCTCCTGGCCACCTCGAAACCGCAGAGCCACAGTGGCCTTTTCTCAGGCAGGCAGCCCAGGTGTTTTCTAACTTTAGCAGCCACATTTGTGTACTCACTTTTCCCTCGTTTGGGTTCTCGGTGAGCAGGATACAGATTTGGGCAGAGCTGGCCAAAGTGGCCCGGAAACAAGGCGTGTGGGACGTCTGTCGGACGGCGAGCCGCTTCTGCCTCCTGTATGACAACGTCAAGGTGAAGAAGTCGAGGCTGCGGAGAGGTTTGTACCCGCCCTCACAAGTGCGTCCCAGCCTGGCCACAGCCGCCCTCTGGGTGCGGGAAGGGTTGTGGTTCATGCAGTGACAGCCCATGGGGCCTTCACATGAGAAAGGGTATAGCTAAGTCACAGTAGTAGCAGTTCCCACTAATTATCAGGACTGCCAATCACGGGGCGGCGGCCACATCTGGCTGTGTCGGCTGAGCCACAAGCACCATCATCATGCTCCGTCTTCAGTCACTGGGGGCCTCGGAGGCTCAGGCAGGGGCAGCCACAGCCAGCAAGCAGATGCCCATGCGGGGCACCTGCAGGCAGAGGGCAGTGGCCACAGGCCCAGCGGGAGCAGGACGTGGGTGGGGCAGCCTCATCAGTCAGCACCAGGCCCTGGAGAGGCTCCTGTCTCAGGGACAGTCAGGACCCAGAGGGACGAGGGAAGTGACAGAACGGGCACAGGGGGCCTGGGAGTCCTGCAGGAGTTGGGGGGGGCCCCTCCAGAAGGTGGGGCATGCAGGAGGAGCTGGGAGAGCCACAGGTGCCAAGAGCATTTGCAGGAATGTGGCCAAGAGCAAGCCCTGGCTGGGGGCCAGCACTACACCCAGCTCCGCCACCCCACGGAGAGCCCCTCCAGCCCCTTCCTGGGCAAGCTGCCCACCTCCCGCTCACCCGCCTACCTTGGTGGACCCTACTGGGGGCTGGGGAGAGACTCAGGCACTCCAAGATGGGCCAGGAATTCTTGTGTTTTTATATATTTGCTGGAAAAAAACATGATCCTTACCTGCTGCCATTTTTCTCTCAGGGAGGAAGAGGCGAGGTAGGGACGGCTCGGTGCAGGACAC